TCTTCTCTTTTCTCGGGGGAACTTGAGAAATTGACTAAAAGCAGGGAATTCGTGATGAGATTTGCTCGAATTGGGTTGTCTCTACTATTAATAGGGTGAGTCCTTACAAAATAATATGTTTATGAACCCTATAATGCTTCAAAGGAGAATTTGAGTTCTTTGTCATTGAACCCAGCTACTAGGTTTCATTGAAGCCTCAAATCTAGCAGATCTTATCAAATCAAATTAACATTTCAATAAACAATATCAATCAAACTCTAATCAAATTCTAACAAAAATACAATCAAACTCTAATCAAATTCTAACAAAAATACAATCAAACTCTAATCAAATTCCAACAAAAATGTAATCAAATTATAAATCAACTCCCAAATTTATTAAGAACTGGGAATGGAAATCGAAAGAAGAATGAAAAAAACATAAACCCAGCGTCGAAACCAGCAAGTTTGGTATGCGCAAACAGCAAGGTTGGGTTCATCGGAACCCAACTGATCTAGGCTTCGACGAACTCAACCTTTGACAAAACCAGCAAGGCTAGGTTCATCGGAACCCAGCCGATCTAGGTTTCAACGAACCCAACAAGGCTGGGTTTCAACCGAACCCAGCAAAGTTGGTTTCATCCGAACCTAGCCTATTTCCACCGACCTAGGGTAGGAAAGAAAGAAAGAGACAGAAAGAAGGGGAAGAAGAGGGATTGGGAGGGTGAGGGTAATAAGGTAATTTTATTTGTTTTTAATTAAAATATAAATATTAATCTACGTGGCATTTTATTTATTTATATAACATAATTATAATATATATTATTGCCACATCATCAAAAAAATTAAAAGACAATATCACATGAAATTATTTAACTGCCACATCACACTTAACTGACGAAGGGACCAAAACTATGTAATTTTTAGAGTCAAGGGATCAAAAAAGTGTAAAAATTTCTTTAAGGACCAAAAAAAGCAAACTAATAAAGTTGAAGGACCAAAATGAGCATTTAACCTTTATTTTATTTAGTTCGTTAACAAATAATTATCAGATTTTTGGATGAGATGGGAAGCCGCGGAACATGTGTAATAAAAGAAAAGGAAAAATAGGAGAAATAGCGTGGACCGAGGCAGGTGAGAGACCCCCACAGTCAGACCGGACATAAGGACGTTCCTTGTCCCTCTTCTTCTCCTGTTTCTTCCTTCCACAAAATTTCAATCTACCAAATTAGGGTTTCCATTTCCTCTTTTTCCCTCGAATTCCTCCGCTGGTAAGCTTCACGTTTTGCTCTAAAAGCTTTCTTCTTTCCTCTTTGCTTTTCTCTGGTCACCGTTTCCTCTTTGTACTTGTCCCTGCCGAAATCGCGTGTTTATTGGTTTTTTAGCTGTTAATTTAGCTGGGTTTGAAGAAATTATAGTTCTTGAAGGTGTTTACTCAGTTGAATTTTGGTGGTTGGTGTTCTGTGTGTGCTAGCAGAGATTGCTTTCAAGCTTTTTAAAGTTATAAAGGATATAGGAGTATGCTAATTAAGTTATTATGCTGAATGTCTCTTAGCTTGATTCTGGGTGTGGAATTTGGACTTCTGATTTTAGATTGTTAGGAGACGTTGGTACTATCTCAGGATTGGCATCATTTTGCGTTTTTACTGGTGAAAGAGTTGGATCTCTTGTTTTTTGCTGATGCATGGTAGACTTGGTAGTCCTATGCTAGAATTCCGGATTCTGCTGAATAAATTAGTTTTTTTTTTCTCTTTATTTTCTGCACTTAATGTTATAATTACTCTTCAAAAACTCTGGTCCGCAATGACCATTGTATCTCATGAATGAATAGGGCTAAAATTGTTGAAGATGCTATTACTAAAATGTTGTGCGATTTCTTCTGGCAACATTTGAAGTGCTTGTCTAGAGTCTAGAGGTTCTTGTGAGATTCACTTGACATTTGAATAGTGATGTCAACATTTGTCTGCTTTCATCTTTGTGTAGATTTAAGTTGCGTTGCTTTTGCTTCATGATGTTTAGATGATCTTGATGCTTGAATAAGGGCAATTGACATACTATGTTATTGTTCTTGTGTCTCTTTAGTTTTTTTTTTTTTTTTTTTTTTTGGGTGCAGTTTTTGTCTTACTGTTGTATGAGTGTCTATCAACTACTTTCTGCTGCTAAAACCTCATTTGTGTGAAGCTATTCTGGCTGCATCTTCACCAAAATGAATATCCTATGGTTTTGTATTGCAGGCACAGCTGGAGAGCCTAATGCTTTAAATTGTTCTTACATTGGCTTTAGGGCCTAATGCTTGCATCTATTTATTGACGTACTGTTACCATTGTAACAGGAGAATTTGTTGCAATCTACATGGTTCTGTTCTTATTGTGCAGTGCTATGTATTTTCTAGTGCTTAATTTTTAAGTGATTTCTCAATCTTAAAAGCTGCTTTATATGCATTTTAAAGTTTCTACCTAGTTACTCTCTAGTCCAGTTGATCTACTATAACATGCTGCTTATGCAGTACTTGTCTGGTTTCCTTCTTTTCAATTATTATTGGTATCTTAAGCAGCATTTCCCTTTGATGGCACATTCCATATTGAGCTTTGATTTGAACACATGCTAGATGAATTCAATTTTCATGCATTACTTGTGTCTCATGCAGGATCTGTTCAAGAATGTGTTTATGTTCTTTTTATGCTTCCATATGGTAAGGTTGTGCACTATTTTCTTAAGTAAAAAATTCTGTTATTTTTTTACCAAAAAAAAAATTCTGTTATTTTGTATTACTTAGTTGACAGAGGAATTCTTTGCTGTTACAAATTATTATTCAGGGTGCCATTGTAAGTGGTGAGTCTGGTGACAGAATAGAGAGTGATGTGATGCTTAGTTGATGCAACATCACAATCACATTAGAGTTTCCTGACCATCCTTGCAATTGCGAGCATTTCTGGATCAAGATGGATGAGGGCGGGCATCGTGAAAATGGAAGACACAAAGCAGATCAGTATAGAACAGCTCAGGGTCAGGTAATTTCAAGCAATTTTCTGCAATCATATAACAATAATATAAATTAGCATAAAAGAATACTCTTTTTTTGGCCAATAAGGTGAACGGTGTTGGCATTTTTTTGAGAACCCATGACGATTCATGTTAACTGTTTTTTTTGCAGTGGCTGATGCATCAGCCATCAATGAAGCAAATAATGGCCATTATGGCTGAAAGAGATGCAGCTATCCAGGAAAGGAATTTAGCACTTTCTGAAAAGAAGGCAGCTATAGCTGAGAGAGATTTAGCATTTCTGCAGCGAGATGCAGCAATTGCTGAGCGAAATAATGCCATGATGGAACGGGATAATGCCATTGCAAATCTCCAGTACCGGGAGAACTCCTTGGCTAGTGCTAATATGTCCTCTTGCCCACCAGGATTCCAAGTTTCACGAGGAATGAAGCACATTCACCATCCACAGCAGAATGTACGTAATCAGTCTCACATGAATGAAGCTCCTTACAATACAAGGGAAATGCATCCAAGTGATGTCCTCCCAGTGACACCGGGTACTTCAGAGGCTGCTAAGTCAAGGCGAGGTAAACGAACAAAAGAACCAAAGGTGATTCCATCTGACAAGGAGATTAATAAGAAGGCTTCAAAACCTCCAAAGAAGGTTAAGAGGGAAACTGAGGACCTGAACAAGATGATGCTCACCAAGTCACAAGAATGGAAGGATGGGCAAGATATGGGTGGTGGGAGTGATGATCTCAACAAACAGATAGTCACAACAAAGACTGATTGGAAAGGTCAGGATCTAGGGTTGAATCAGGTGGTATTTGATGACACGACAATGCCAGCACCCGCGTGCTCTTGCACTGGAGTCCTGAGGCAGTGCTACAAATGGGGAAATGGGGGGTGGCAGTCTTCATGCTGCACAACCTCGTTGTCCATGTATCCCCTACCAGCAGCTCCCAACAAGCGACATGCCCGAATTGGTGGCAGGAAGATGAGTGGGAGCGCTTTCAACAAGCTGCTAAGCCGGCTTGCAGCTGCGGGGCATGATCTGTCAAATCCTGTTGATCTAAAGGACCATTGGGCCAAACATGGGACAAACCGCTATATCACCATAAAGTAGGCTGTAAATTATTTAGTTGGAAGCATAAAGTTTTCAAGTTATGCAGCCTCTGTTTCTCTCATTAGCTACGGAGGAGAACAAATAAGGCTGACAATGGCCTCAGATTCCGGCCATTTTGACTTTAGATAATCACTGATGTTCGATAAGATGATCGGCCTCCGATCAACTTCCTCATCTCCACGGTATTCCACTTGTTAGGATATCCATTAGGCCTGTAGGCTGTAGTTAAATGTGTACTTAGTCTGTAACTGTACCCTTTACTTTTCGGCTTAATAATCGTGTACCTCATGGCCTAAAAGTCTTGTACCTGTACTTAATTACTTTTAATGTTTCATTGTTCTCCTAATTATAAAATAATTTGGTCAATGTATCAGTCTGGCAAAATGTGAATTAGTTTCACCAGGCCATGTAACATCAGCAAAATCTGCACTAGGACTTATGGGACGCTTGTAATCTGCAGCCAATGTCTTGGCTTGGCAATGATCAAGATGTTTCCATTTCCCATCTCCATACCGCCAAATTGTACATGTTCCAAAAAATATATATAAAAAAAAGGGGGGGAAATCTCACATTTGAAACCCTAATCCTACTTTAAAACAGCAAACGAAAGTCCCAGGTGCTGTAAAGCTTCAGATTGGAATTAATATATTAAAAGTTTTTAACTTTTCACTTTCAATAGAAAACTGGATTTCGCAGCTGCGTTTTACGGTCCACCTGCAAGGTGCTTCTCCGGCACGGGGTTCGAATCCCCCCAAATTGTAAACCAGTTACAAAAAAAAGAAAAAAGAAAACTGGATTTCATTGTTAAAAATCTACACTTGGAATTAACACAAAATGAAGATTTGTATTGAAAAACGTCGGGGATTCAAAGAGGAATCCTCAAAAATGCTCTCTTTAAGCTCCACAGTGAGTGTCAGATCATAATTTTTCAGCACGAGTGATCAGACAGGGATAACTGTAATGAAAAAAATGTTCTCATCATGCACAGCACTGTAGGGAGCTATTCCTTGAAAGAAAAAAAAAAGGAGAGAAAACAGAAAACGCCGGAAATCATTTCACCGGAACTTCGAAGCCTCAGACCGTCCTAGTTCATGAGTTTCAAACACGATTCATGCAGATCTCAGAATCTGCATTTCAGTAAAACCCAAAATTTCATCATTGGCTTTATACAGAGCAATTGAAGAAAAAGGAAATTTGAAGATGGATGAAAGAGCCATCAGATCTTCCTATTCAAAGAAGCAAATCATTATACCCAAACCGAAGTCGGAGTATTCGCCTATTCAAAAAATTCGTCATTTGGTCTCCTTCGATCTCTCAAATAGAAGAAAAAGAAAACAAAGAACGAAGCACAAAACCCTAAACTAAATTTCAGGAAAACACAGAAGCTGAGGAGGACGAGGAGCAGAGAAGAGAAGGTAGACGGCGACCCTGCGTTAGGGTTTTAGAAAATCCTTTTGCTACGTATCGTTTTATAGGCATTATTCGATAAGGAGATTGCTGGTGACGAAAAAATCGTCACCACCATGTTGGATCATGCCACCTATAATGGGCCTGGCTCTTATAAACGGACACATTCTCACTCCAATCCAATAGACTTTGAAACAAGAGGCAGCCCATGGGCCTCTTTGGGGCCGCAAACATTTCGATTTCCTATTTCGAGTCAAAACGTAATTAATGGATGGATTAAGCTCAGCTAAGGACGCAATGTTCAGATTACGTTCAAGCAACTTAAGCTGTTCAACTTAAGAATCAATCAACGTTATTTTTGGGTATCATTTTTCTTATTTATAATGCAAAACTGTTTTTTTATTTTTTCTACTTTTTTTTTATTAATTTTTAATTTTAAATTATAAATCTGAGATATATAGATGAACTTCAGAAGTTTTCTAAAGAATTCTTTTCCATTAAAAGGTTTCCCACACCCTAGCTAGTTATATTTTTGTTTCAAAAAAATATTAATACACCATTTACCTTCCTTCTCTAAAATAATAAGAAAGTAATTTACGATATATCTATATAAATTAATATATCTTTATTAATTTGTTTTTGTGTCGAATAATTATTGTAAAATTTTATTATAAAAAGAATATTACGTGTGAATCATTATAATAATAAGATACGAGGGATGTTTCATAAAAAAGATATGATGTTAAGTGTCCTTAATTTTTTTTGTTATTAATCTCTCGTAATAATCGCATATGATTTTGATTTATTTAGAATCAAATTATGTTGGACTTTCAGTATTTATTTTTTCATTCAAAAAACTCAAATTTAAAATTTTATTTAAGTAACCAAATTTTTTTTACTTGAATTAAAAATTGAACTCATTTTATTTAAATTAACAGGTTGTTTGTGAAATGTACTTAATTTTATGAGTATTCTCGCTTACAAAATGAAGTTAAAAATATTAATAAAATAATACTCAGCCAATAAGTGATCCAATATCGATGCGCTCGGTAGTCCACCAAACGCACCTAACACTTCTCCAAAGGTATGCTACGTGGTTCTCCAATTTATATGAAAACATGAAAAGTTACCGAACATTTTTCATTTTATACCCTATGTGTTTTTCAATCTCATTAAGATACCATATTATCTCATCTACTTTAAAAAATACTAAAAAGAAAAGGTAGGACGAATTACACTTTAACCTTTTGTTTTTCAAATGTATCATTTCTATTTTCTTTTTATAGCACTAATTTAAATCTATCTCTCTTATGGAAGTTTAAAAAAAAAACATCTCTCTCTTAAAACTATGCATGTATCTCATTAATAGTGCTATTACTTATTAATAATTTAAATAATTTAATAATAATATTTTTTATTAAAATTACAAAATTTCATATTTAAACCATATGATAT